CATGTTTGAAAGCAATATCAATACCATGGTAGACCATGGTCAAGCATGTTTGAAAGCAATATCAATACCATGGTAGACCATGGTCAACCATGTTTGAAAGCAATATCAATACCATGGTAGACCATGGTCAACCATGTTTGAAAGCAATATCAATACCATGGTATGCCATGGTCAACCATGTTTGAAAGCAGCATCAAAATAACGATTTTGGAGAAGACATATTGCACATATTTGCAAACAGCACCCATACAGCATGGTCAAGAAATACCTAAATGAATATACATGAGCATGCAAATATTAGTTAAAATGTTTGTTTCTTCACTAAAATTATTTAATTAAATTTGGCTGTCCTGGTGCGCTGCTCTTAAGTTCTGTCTTGGGACATATATAAGCTTATATATACACAGCCAATCTGTTTATGCATTTTCATTTTTCATGTGTTTAACTAGAATCATTTGGAGAAAATAGATCAAAGAAACAGATGTATGCCTTTGCTTCAAAATACTTTTTTTATAGTTTTTTTGAGTATACTATAAATGAATAATTGCGAAACCTTCACGAACATAATTTTCTTACTAAATAAGATATAAATTGTTATAAAGAGAGAAATAATTTGTAATAGCTTCTGCAAGATTTTTCCAAGTATATGTTGTGGATTTTGATTCCCCACTATATTCCTCATAGTCATTGTTTACATCAAATATCACTTTGAAGCATGTTTAAGGCTTTCAAAAAGCTAGCCAGACATTCAGCTTCATAAGACAAACTTCATTTGCAAGATTTCAGCAAGTTAACTCCATAATAAATTGAATTTGAATAAAAGTGAAAAGCAAAATAAGACTTCAACGTTACATGCCTGACAGTGATCCAATCCATGTCCTCAGCATCCAGTTTTGCAATAGAACCCATTGCATGATATCAAACTCTTGTTGAGCAAATTAATTCAGCTTCCAAAATTATAAAAAAACTACTTTTGAACAGAGATTATACGGTGTACGGGATTTCTCAATAATATCGTATCAAAAAGAAACCACTGCCATAGTTGAGTACGCAAATCCTTTTTATTCTTGCACTATTGAATCTGGTAATGATCTGGTCAACAACGTTGGCGGGTCAGTTAAAACAATTACATAAAGATATTAATCCCGAAAGTTCGTCTTACTTCAAACGAGTGTTACACTATACTGAATTAAAAGGGTAGAACGCTAAGAGATTAAGTTAATCTCTTGTCAATCAAATAATTGCTGAATACGCTGATTACTATGGAAACAGCTACA